GATGGGTGGGGAGGAGCGGGCCGAGGGCTGGGGATGCTGAGCGGCCGACAAGACGCTCCTGGTGCAGCGCCCCCCGCTCCCCCTCTCCTCCCGCGGCTCCGCAGTTTACTTTCCCTCCCGACAGCATTTAGGGAGCTGGGGCGGACCGCGGATGGGGCCTCGGCCCGTCAGGGGCTATGGGGGTTTGGCGGGCTGCTTGCAAGGGCGCTCGCCGTCCCAGCACACGACGAGGCACCGAGCACCCACCGCAGTGCCACCGGCGTCCAGCGGCCGATTTTCCCTGAAATCTGTTTTTCTTCCGACTGCTACGGTAACTACGGCCCTGCCCTGCCCACCCCAGTATCAGGATGCACACGGGTACCGGGCCTGTGCTCCAAGCATGGATTTCTATTTGACAAACTGTCCTTCATTCATTTTCCTCTTCTGTGAATACTTCCAGAAATCGTATTTGTTTGTTTTCCTTTTCATTAAAATTATGCACCACTTTTTCCTGAAACTCCAAAGTGACATTTATAGATGAGGGGACATAAACAATTTTTTGTGCATTCCTCCAATATGATACACAAGAACTTACTTCCTTGGCATATGTTTCCAGCATGTAGAGGGACAGAACCAGAGTTCATAGCTTTACTGACTTCAGCTGAGCTATAAAGATTAATGTTAGCCGAAATTCTGACTCACTGTTTTTTGACTCTCCCTTAGAAGAGTCCTGCGTTAACACCAAAACAACAACAACAAAAAAAACCCACAAAAAAAAGAAGCCCAACAAAAACGAACCCAAATATTGTATTTTTATTTAGCTTGCTTTTTTACTGTTTTGTTTCTGGTAACAACTTTATTAAATGCCCAGCTCCAGAATGCTTAGTGAAAATTTACAGCTGCAGAGAGAGGAGTACAAATACTTATTTTAAAATTAATAATAAAATAATTATGGACTTGATCTTGTCCAGACAATGCACCAGTTGTTCTAGAGAAAACCTCTGCATATATCATACACACTTTGGGGAAATGAAAGCAGCAGTGTATAAGGAAATGCAACACATTAATGTGAAATCCTAAACTGGACTAGCCAGCTCTTGTTCTCTCAATACAATATTTTATGAAAAATAAAAAAAAAATACCAGGTGTTTAGTCCCACTGCAAAAGCTAATGCATATGCAGACATAATAATGACATGATAATATTTCTGCTTACTATTTGCTGTTTCTTCTTAAGACATAGACCATAAAAGTTCCCACTCAGCAACAGAACAAAACTTCGACATATGTTAAAGCATTATTCCCATGTGTCTTCAGCTTTATCAATATCCATCAATGTCCAGACATTATCGTAGGCCTTCACTTGCTCTCACTGAAGTCGACAGCAAAACTTCCACTGGCTTCAACAAGAGTTAGGCTCTCAAAGAATAAGGCAAGGATGATAACTTGTGTGCAGTTAGGAGTACTGTAACAGGACTGGAATGCACATCAAGACTCTCATGACTACATGTAAGTAACACCCACAAAAATCAAACAGTGTTTCACAATAGGTCCTGAAATAACATAGGTAAAGTGATGCAGATTCTTACAATGCTATGGAAACTAATACATACGAAGCTTGATTAATATGGTGTGGTTTTTTTTAAAGCAATACAAATCTGTAGTGTTAATTGGGTAATGAACATGTTCTGAAAACAATATTAACCATAAATAATCAGTGTTATGAAATTGAATAAAACTTTAACTAATAGAAACATTATTAAAACGTAATTAATGAGCACATTTGTGCATACAAATTTTCTCATTTTATACTAAGCTCCAGAACTCTGTAAACTGCGAGGCATTCATCGTGCTTAACATGGCAGAAAGTTATATTACGTCTCTGTTATTTTATTTTGTTCAGTCCTCTTCCCATCAAACATGCAAACACTGTCATCACCATTTTTGGCTTCACTTCAACCAGATCATCTGGGAGAGCATATATACGAGCACCAATCTTTCGAGCAACTGAAATGGCATACCTTGGAAAACAAGAGAAAATAAAGAGTTACTTTCCTTGCATCTGCCAAGTGTGCCAATGTTCATAAGAACAACATTTTAATAGCATGATGTACCTGTTCAGTCCATATTTATGCTCTGTAGAAAGTGGACGTTATTGTGAAGAAAGCACATACTACACCGAATCATTAGGGTTGGAAGAGACCTCTAAGATCGTCAAAGTCCAACTGTCAAACTTGACAGACATTTTGCTACTGATTACCAAAGCATTTATTTCTGTCAAAACCAATATGGATTATGGTAGCTGTTAATAAAGTAATTGCAGTGGAGTGGTGGTAGGTCATTTCAGCCATGAATGAGTTCATATATTAAATGTGCTAGAAAAATAGCTCTAGAATACTAGAATCTATAATACATTCTATTTGAAACAAAGCAGCTAATATTAACGTAATCTGCCCTTGTTAATACATCAGTAAATCATTAATTGCACCATGAATTCATGCATTTCCTGCACTTCAGGAAAATACAAAGCATTCATTTAAAACTTACTTAGCATTATTCAATTTATCTTGGTAAGAAAGTTCTTCTCTCTTGACCATTTCTGGACGAACTGCTTTTGGTGCAATGGCATCTATTAAATCTAGGACAGGTAAACTAGTGCTAATTGATTTGTCCTAAAAGAAAAGATTCAAAAGATTAGTATAAAGACTTCGCTTTGATTATTCTGTCTCCTCTATGCAAAAAACCCTACAGCACAGCACATTTTACATACCTACTGAAAGACACCAGAGTGTTTTGCTGCGTGACGGCTTTTCCCCCTCTTTATGAGGACTAATGGTCTTTCCCACAATCAAAATAATGATACTGTTATTACAAAATGGTTTATTTCATGAAAAAACCAAAGCATTTGCTGTAATTATTCCTTCCCAACAGTTGTGGCACATAGGCAGCTGCTGATGACAAACTGACAGTCAGCAGACAGTGCCAGGGAGGCTGGCTCTGCTCCTGCAGGGCATCAGCACAGCTGCCTTCTCCACCAGCTCACAACTGTGTCAAATTCAGTGACGTCCCATAAAGCCATCATAGTAATTATACATCTAAAAATAGCCATGTAAGTCTGCCTGAAGACATCAAATGTTTGTAGTATCTCCACAGGACCGTAAGCTCAACCCACACTTTTGTCATTTTTATTGTTTGAACTAATGGCAATTCAACAGAACTTTCCTTTCCTAGTCCACGATAAGTATCAGGGGCCTCTGCCTTCCCTGCTACACAATCTGTTTGCTGTAGTAACCCCAAAATATAGACAAAAATTCATACTGTGAAAGACAATATAGACATGAATGTTGTAAGAAAACTGTAGTAAAAAAAGGTATACTGAATAATGTCACTTTACATCAGTAGCTCCTTATATTTATTGGTCTACTATCAGTTGAATTACCTTAAAAACACAACCAATGGCCCCTCCAAAACCACAGGTGTACCCAGAGCAAGGTGTTAGGACAGGTTCTGTTTGCATTTTTAACTTACTTCTACATAAATTGTAATAATGGTGTTATAAATAAGAGAAGCAACAGTCCCTTTTAATTAGATGAATACCTAAGTTACTTTCTAGAGTAAAAGTTTAATGATTTGTTCTATGAAATGATTTTATATTACCTTCTAATGCTGACCTAATTCAATTCCATAGCACAGCGAGCACTCAGATATTTAACTTGCTAGGTTCTTGTGTTCCTGCTGTGAACCACAGACAACTGTTTCAGAGCATACAACGAATGTGCACAAGATTGTTGTATCTGTGTGCAACTGCAGACATGACACACCTGACATACACATGACTTCTTCTGTGTAACACTTTAAAAATGTGAGAGAAAAGCTTTCTTTATCAATTTATTAATATTTACTGAACGGGAAAAGCTCCCATCGTGTACAGGTCTGCTGCACATCAGCATTGCCAATGGAGACAAAAGGCGTCACTGGTTAAATGGGCTCCCTCTCCTGGCGCTGTCACACGAGCACATCTGTTTGACCAGCTCTGACTAAAAACGGTGGTGGTGCATTTCCAAAGTTGTTCCTCGTGTTTGTAACAGGCATACGAGTGCCTGTATCAACAAATTTGGAAGATACACGCCATGCCATGCCCAAACATTGGTAACTTCAGACAGAAGTCCCTTTGAAAGTTTGCTTTTTAAAAAATTCTAAATTCTTTCTGTTTCTTATTAACAGACTCGTAAATTACTTTTCAAGATTCACAGACTGTTAGAAATATTTCCTTATGCAATTATGGTAGCTGATGGGAGAGCCACTGTTAAAGCCAAATTGTTAACAGATCAGATTAAAAATCCCAGATCTGATTATACGTGGAAAGAAGGAAAGTAAATTAATTTGCTTACCTTGAAACTTGTAATTGAAGTTTTCTTATTTGCTTTTGCAAGTGTCTGATTCACCCATTTAATAATAATTTCATCATTTACTTTTTCTCCCTCTCCAAGGTCTGATAACACATTCAAAGTATACCTTTAATAAATAAAACCAGAGTCTGAGTTAAAGTGAGTGGCAGAACTCAACTCTGCTAACAGTACCAAGCTACAAGCAACAGGAAAATATCACCAGTACAGCAGCAGTGCCAAGAACTCTTCTTCACAAAGTACTCTTACCTTAAAAACAATTACTTTATATCACTTCTTTGTTGCTGCAAGAACAAAATAACATCCCCAGACTCATAACATTCAGCGTTACATCTTCTTTATCTATTTGTTTTGCTCAGCACATCATAACTGATTTTATTTTATAAACTGAAATGGCTGCCTACCACCCAAGTCACTTTGAAAAATGAACTGCAACAGTTTAAGAAACAGAAAGCACTGAGTGTTCTGGGGTAGGTGTAAGAAAATGAACTTGTGGAAAGTATTTGCAATAAAAAGCTCTTTACTGAAACCAAGTTACAATATATTTTTTTCCTGCTCAGTGCACTAGCAAGATTATGATTTTCTAATAGTTACATTACTACAGCTGTGATGGCCTAATAATTTCTTCCCATTTTAACATCTCCAGCATACATAACCTTTTCCTATCCACCCTTCTTTTTTGATTTTACAAATATTGACATTACTCTCTACTTACAGAAAGATACGTGGAATCAACATGAAATAAGTTGTGTGCTTTTTACTTGCTGAAGGATTTATAATTTTGACCCCAGTTTTAGTACATAAAGTTTTAATTACGTCCATACATTGACGTGTACACAAACACACTACTGTGTCTTCAACCACTACACAGTATGTAACTCTACAAAAAGTCTTAGAGAAGAGGGATATTTAGAGATGGCTCTCTGAAATACCTGTTGGGCGAACTGAACACTAGCTTTAATTTGCTGTGACATACAGAGACATAATACAGACATAATACAGACATGAATCATATACTATGCCGAACTTACCTCCTCATCAGCTGCCATACCAAAGCCAAAGTCAGAGTTGGGTTACCCTCATTTAGATCGTGTCCAGCAATACCAACCAGTGAGAATTTGGCTTTTGTCCTCCCGAGTTCTACTGCATAGTTGCAATTCTCAATCTGAAAGTAAATGTTGTGTGCAAATAATAAAACCACCTTAATATTTCTATAATACAGACCTGTAATCTCTGTGTATTTTGAATTACTTTGGCTTATGGTTACCTATGGTGAGATGTGAAGCTAAAGAAAGATTTCTAGCCTTTCTACACTGTGATTAAACCAAGAGTTTTTACTGTAAGTGCTAGTATGCAAGATGCCATTGATAATCTTTTTCCCACACCCAAGAAAAGCAAGTTCACTTCCACTACAGTCAATGAGTATACACATACATCAAAACAGAATTTGGAAAATTACCGAAATGTGTTTATTTCGAAATTTTTTTCCTCTACATCTCTCACTTCATAACGATCACAAAACTGAAAGCTTGATTCTGCAAGGCTTGCTCGAATTCTCCTGGCAGCGTGTGAAACTGCTCTGTGAGGAAACACCTCACGACAGAAGAGCTCCTCCCCCACGCAAATCTAGGCAACCCAGATCCACAAAGAGCACAGCGGGAAACAGTGAAACGGGGCCGCATTCCCGAGTATCTACCCACCTTTTTCATATTACCACCGAGTAACGGATAAGGAGGTTTGTTGACATGGTTCCAGCCAACCGGCACACGAATCATATCGTACAGTTGGAAGATTATTAAAGCATCAGAAAGGTCACTAAATCAGAGTAAAACAACACTTTTAAGTACAAAAGCTCATATTCACAATGAAAACGTTAAGTACTTGAGACTTCTCGAAGTGTAATTAAGTTGCTGAACATTTGCAGTCACAAATAAAAATTCTGTGGAGAAACTGGCCTATATCCTATTGCTCAATTCCTGCCATTATTTACATTAAATTGTATGTGTAATGTAATTATTTTCACAAATATAAGTGAACTAAGCACAGCCACTGATTTTACCAACTTTAATTAAATAATTGCTTTTCATAGGGTAGGCATAGATAGAACATCTAGCTAAAGAGTTTTTATTTATTGATCTAGTTCTAGTTTTCTCAGAACTTTTCAAAATGTTAAATACTCATGCTTTATCTGCACTTAACAGATTTATCTTGCCCAAGAATAATCAAAACCAATATATTCATCTTGTGGAAAAAAAAGACTATTAGGAGAAGCATTATTTTCCCATTATAAATTGCATTCCTGATGATCTCCTTCAGCCACTTGCCAACTGAAATTCTCCATGTTAAGCTATCTAGAGATGGTACCACTTTACAGAGGTCAGGAAACACAGCAATGAAACCTGGCATCAAGTATACATGCTACCAGATGTTCCCACTTGCTCCCTATATCCCACTTTTTCAATAAGATTTGAATCAACTGCTGGCACAGTTTGAAAGTGATCAGAAACAGCCAAAAAGCATGCTAAAAAGCTCTTTGTCTTGAGGAAATACCACACTGCATAGATTCTTTTTGCTCAGCAGACACCTATCCTGTCCTATAGTTTAGAATTACATTACTGTTTGAACAGGTTCGTGGTCATTTCAACTCCCACAAGAGAAAATAAAATTCATGCATTATAAAACATAACTACCTCAACTTTAAAAAAAAAACATAATACAAAGTACAAGTGAGTGAGGAGCGCACATGAAAACTTTTAATGTTCTCTAGTACTTCTAGGTCATGAGTGGAACATCTGAGTCAGACACTGCTTAAGGCAGACCACACCACAGACCAGTTTTGAAGTTCTTATCACACTGTGTGGAAACTCTGTTATAGTAGAAACAACTTCCCTTTGTTCTTCTCTTCTTTCTTCCCCTGTCATCCAAGGGAGACCAAGTTATTGTAGGCTTTTTTTTTTTCCCCCAAAGAAAAAAAAGCCTTACCTGTATAAGTGATTAACATATGGGCTTACACCCAGTGAATTCATCCAGTTTCTGAAAGTCCTTTCTTCCTTACTTTCTCCTATGGCGACAAACATAATTCTACGTAAATTACGTGCAGAAAACTAAGAAGCAATGTTTAAATGACTCTCGTGTCCCTCTCTCTCTCCTCCCCCCAAAAAATAACACAAAACAAGACACGAGTCCATCCTTTCCCTAACAGTAGCCTCTACTGGCCAATAAGTCAAGGCAATCCTATCAAATTGAGTCCCAGAGGCACTGCAGGGAGTACTATTGGACAACAATTTTCTGTGTAAATACAATTTGATAAAATGCATATATCAACAGTTTGTTGGTTATATTTTAGATAATATATCTTGGAGAAAATAGTGATGGTTAATAAGAATAAAATGAAAATCAGTAGAAATCGCATTCAATAGTATCTTTAAATCCATTTGAAATGGTGTATTTTTATTGAGTTAGTACTAACACGCTTATTGCAGTTGCATCAAACTCCAGAAACTGCTGCTCCACTTCTTCCCCAGTATTAAACTGTGCAGGTCCTCCCCAGAGCAACAGATCTCACCTCTTCAGTTTTCAACACTGGAGACTCAGCAAGGTAGCTACTGATACTGCCAGGAGGGCCAGTTATTCCTGCAGCTTTAACTAGCAACTCTACTTGGAAATGCAGAAAATTCAGAAGGAAAAAGCCAAACAAACCAAACTCCTCACTTTCCTTAGATCTTTTTTGATCTATTGCGAGTTCCTGAACTAATGCGCTCTCTCTCTCTCTATCCAGTTTGCAGTAAAACATTAATTTTTTACATAAAACATTACCTAAATTTTAACAATGTATCTGTGGCCAATTGCATGTGAAGCAGTGCTGCATAAGCTGTTCTCTTACATCAAAGAAAAGCATTTAACAAAGTATTTAGCCTGAATACATAAGCTTGGAATAACCTCATTGTCAGCCCAGTTCTGGGCTGGTAATTCACAGTTAAGAAAACAGGAAGGACATTGAGAGGGAGAAAACCCCCCAGACAATGAAAATAGATTTATCAGGACCGAAACGTGTAAAAGCCTGAGTAAGATTTTCCTTGCTTTCTTGTCTGTTCCTCAGCTGATAATGGTACCGAGTTTGCCTAACGAGGTTTACAGAGCATGAGAACTGTCTCGTTTATTAGTGCAGTTCTATGTTGACTACAGAACAATGTTTGTGCCAAATGAACCGACTGTATCAACATGTATTTAACATTAGGACAGAGATAAAACCTCTTTATAATATTAAACATTATAAAATATAATATATAAACTATAGTATTAATGCTTTTTCCATTAAATACACCTATGTTATAACTTCAGTTTTTAGACAGAGGTTACAGTTTTAGTCTAGGTCTCTTCCTCTTTTATACAAAAAGCTCTGGACGTCAAAATTTATTTATAAAAAAAATTAAATTCAGAAATTTCAACTGTACTTGACATTTTCCAACAGAAAAAAAAGTCTTATTTTAAAATTTTCAGCCACCTTACCAGTTACTTTCCTTCCCAATTATTGTGAGATAGATTATATTCATCCTACTACTACATTTTCTTTCTAAATTATGAGGTTTTTCATATGCAATTCAGACTGGTGTTTGTTTCAAAGCTTTACCACAGACTCACTGAGGAGTACATGCTGAAACAAAGAAAAACACCATTCTGCAAGATCTTTGGGCAGCCAGCTTTTTTCACACATTTCTTCCCACAACAAAATTTAAAAGACAACAAAGAATCACGTTTTATAATAAAGTTAATAAAAATATCCGTGTTTTTCCATAAAAAGATACAGTCAAAACACGAGCATGATACATAATTTAAGTTTATAAGGAACAACTTAAAAGGTTATAGCATTTGAAGCAAGTCCCTTTTTGCTTGCTTTCTTTTTTGAAATTTTTAGGCTTACTGAGCTCTGAGTTGGTTTGCAGTATCTAAAATACTGATTGCAAAGTGCTTTTAGAAACACCTGCCCATGGCAAAGACAGTAACAAGGTTATTTAATGGACTCCTATGAACAGGAACTCGGCAACGGCACTCAGACGGGAATTTTAAAATGCATGCTTAACACTGGCGAAGGAATCTGAGGTAGCCAAGCAGGAGCAAGAGCATGCGAGTTGGGCAGCTCCCTTGTGGAGAGCAGGAAGTCAAGAATGAAATCCAGCATACTGTATTTAATATGCCACTCTAAACAAGTCACTTTATCATGCAACACATAAGCGTTCGTAAGTTTTCCAGATGGCTGAGAACTGACCAATTCTTTCTCTCCGTTCTTTTATTCAAAATATACCTTGTGATCCTATCAGGAGCATATCTTCTGCTGAGTGGTGCAGCAGATAGCCAAAATCATTGGAAAACTGCAGAAAAGGGGCAGAGCTACACAAAAGAGAGAGGAGCAAATTTGGTAGTATCCTTTATATGTATTGCCATCTCTTTCTTTGAGATCATTATGCTATGAAATGGAGTAGAGCAGCCATAGGGATGGAGTCAAGAATCCAAAGGGCTCCAAACACCCAAGATTCTCTCTGAAAGACAACAGAGCCCAAGATCCAACCTGCACCCTAAGGTCAGCTGGCCCGAGTGGGAGTCGTCAGTGCTCTCACAGCAACAGCCTTGAGGGCTGCCAGTAGACTTAGCAACAGCAGCAGAGGACACGGACACCGGAGGAAATGTGGGTGGACAGAAGTCCCTCCTTTCCTTTTCCCCAAGAACTCAGGTTTCTGTGTGACTTGGGCTCCAAACTCTGCTCCCTTCCCCACCAGTGAGAGGTTCCTCAGAGCAGCAGCAACACCAAGTTAAAGGTTGTGCATTGACTGAGGTCAGGACTCCATCCCCACATAATATCAAACATTCATTTTGCTGTCAGTATAGCTGAGGGACGTGCTCTCTGTATACAAGTGCACATCACCAGACTTGCTAAGCATCGTTAGAGCAGTGTCAATTTACAGTGTTCATCGTCTTAAACCAAAGAGAACAGCCACACCGTATCCTTTGGGTGGCACAGGCACTGAAAAGATGGAATTTAATGCAGGCAAATGAAGACTTTCAGAAAGCTCTACTCACCCAGACATGCCTAGAGCTTTACATCTTGGCTCATGAAAGGCCCCTACCGGTTACGCCCACAGAAAGAACTATGTGGCATTTGACTTACTGCAAGTCCTGCCCCCATTTTGTATGCATCTGTAGGGTTTTCTCCTCTTACTTATGATGGCATATTAAAGCAATGGAAAAATACAAGAACAATGCAAAAAACAACCAGAAAATGAAAGAGATCATTAAAACATTAGAAAGGAAAAAGAAGAAACATTGCAGAATTAACACTTTATGGAGTACAGAAAAGTACTTAATACAGTACCTACATTAGGAGGGGTCAAATCTGCATGTCATGAAGCAAAATAGGAAAGCATTATAAATTATGAGTCAGATTTCAACAGACAATCTATGATGAAACTATAAAGAAATAAATTACTTAAATTTTATATGACTACCTTGATAAAACATCAGTAAAACTACAGGATTTTATGGAAAAAAAGTAAAACAAATTAACAGAAAAATACAACAACAACAACATCGTCTTTTGGCTGAAATGACTCTTTTGATGGTTTAGATCTGCATGACACCACAGGAGTTATTATTTGGGAGCAAAGGAGAATTGTCTACTTGCCTTTGGACAGATAACATTGATATGATTACTGATCTCTCAAATATGTACTATAAACAGTAAATTAAATTTGGCTGGTATTTATAGTTACAAAATTGTAAACAAGCATTCAGGTGATTGCAGCTTTTTACAAACTGTTTTAGCTGAGACTTCGATCTCACCTGAGTAGTTTAGGAAAGTTCAGAAAGTAATTCAGCTGTTTTTTGCCATGCCAGTGAAAACATCTAAATTTGTCCAAGTTTTCAGTATTTTGAATCACACCTGCAACTTGATGTTCAGAACGAAGAAGCTGAAGTGAACTTACTCCACCTCCATACAACTCCCATACACGTTTCAAAGAGCATACATTTCTAACAAAACTGCAGCAGAGGAAAAGCAGGCCCTTCCTTCAATCATTTGTGCTGGACAGCAAGGATTGCAGCAACTAGGGATGTTACAGCTGAAAAAAGACTACCTCCTGTGCCCTGACACCTCTACCCAGCTGAAACTGGAATAGCAGGAAGCCTGGAAACAGCAGTGGTCTGAGGGATACAAGATTGGTGACACGGGGATGCAGCAGAGCAGACAAATTACGAAAGAAAGAGGAGCAAAGGAAGATGGACTCACCTAGATGGAAAGGAAACCTGATAGGAACAGTAAGAGGAAGGCAGGAGTAGGCAGTGCAGAAGAATGTGTGAACATTGCTGATGATTCTCGTGAGTGTGGTACCCCTGATTCTCACCATTCCTTTGAGCTCAGTGAGCGACTGTGAAATACGCTGGCAGGAGCCATTTCATGATCCTATATTAGCTGGTCCACAAAAGGGGTTACAGCCAAAGATTGCTACCAATTATCCCTTTATCTCTAGCATTAGAGATCTGAAATGTATAGGTAAAATCCAAACTTGCCAGTGTGCTAGGATCTGTATAGGCTGCTGATGCAATAGATTAATATAGGTTGCTGATATATAGGCTTTTTTTTTATGTTTCCTGTTTTAAAAGGCAAAAACTAATACACATACACACACATATACATAAACACAACATGTGAAAAGTACTTTAAAAGACTATTACAGTTGCATAGTATACCACTGCAAATTAGGGAAAGCTAGAGCTTGTACATCAGCAAAAATATAAACAGCATGGAAAGAAGCACAGCAAACTGGAAAGGGAGTAAGAGGACAGTTTTTGCTCCTGCAAATGAATGATAGAAGGTTATTCAGGAACAGCCTTTGGTGAGGCCAACACAAGTGAACAATATTCACAGCAACAGGGATTTCTACTACAGGCTTACATTAAAAGCTAGTGAGAAAGCTCTATATGCTGGTCTTAACACAGGCAGCATCACACAGGGATCCTATATCACAACCTAGAAGGAACACGTAAGTAGACATCACTAATATTCTTATCTCCTGTATGTTTAGTAAGTTAAGTACCTTCTAATAAATTGAGATCGTAAGATGAATTGTCAGGCTTGTTTAGGGCTGGGTATGTGTTAAAAAGATTTGCAACAAAAGCTAAATTGAGTTTAGGGTTGCCAGCAACCACATCAGCTGGAGTTACAAACTGTCTGCAGCCCAGTTTATCTGCCTGTTGGAGCATGCATTCAGCCCTCCTCAAGTCATTTTTATCCTAAAAGAAAAAAAAATGGTAATGAATACTAGCATATTTCCATTCCTTGCTGCATCTTCAATTTGACAAATCTTTAAATGACCCACGCCAGCCTCTCCCTCATTCCCCCACTGCCTGAGCTGACTCCTACAGCCCATAACAATTCCCTTCTTCCCACCTTCCTTTCACCTTCTGTTAGTCCTTCACTTCTGTGGCTGCCTGCACAACACATTCAGCTACACGTGCAATAGGCTCACCATCACTGCTTTAAACTGATGTTCTCAAGCACAGTAATTACAGATTATGTCCAAACCCCTTTATAAGGGTTTAAATGCTTCAGAATGTGATAATTCACTACCGTGATTTCCTTTTAGTATTTTTGCCTCTGAATTGTCTTAAGTTGGTAACCTATGTGTTGTTTATTCATTCTTACTATTAATCTACACAGAATAAATCAATCTTCAAGGCCATGTAGCATATACTTTTTGCCTCTAATCTTCATAAAACTAGGAGTTACTATTTATAGGGAAATGAGTTAGTAATTGAATTACTGTTAGAATCTAATAACAGTCAGTAATTCAGCATTGGTACACTCAGCCAGAAACCTGCTCTAGAACAAGTTGTCAAATGTTACTGGTTTATAATCCATTACAGATCATGGTCATATGAACTGTAGGAAATTGCAGGGAAAAAATTTACTGATACCCTTTTTCATTCCCCAAAAATCCCAAAACAAAAGCAAACAGACATACCAGAGGTCTCCTCATGAAGGAGTCTGAAAGGACTAAAGCCCGTATGCAAATACAATTTTGCATGTGGGTTTTCATTACCATAATGAATTACAAGGTTCAGTGTAAGACTCTGATTGATACATAGATACTTAAGGCAGGCAGTTCAGTTTTGTATCAAATGCATTCTCAGAATAATCCTTCCAATAAGCATTATGTAGCAGCTTGGAAAAAAGTGTTTTCACATCTACCTAGGCTGGTTTTAGACCCTTTACAACTTAAAGCTTGATGGTTGCCTCTCTTTCCTTTCCTGCTGGTTACTGGAAGGGTCTCACGTTATCTGAGTGCTATCTGGTTTGGAGGAAGCATCACAAGGTTTGAAAGTTTACTCTTTCTCCTTGTCTGAATTCAACAAAAAGCAGAACTGAGAAGAATGTTGTAATATTCATGTTGGAGGACCCAACTGAAAACAAAAAAACAGTTAGACTCGACTCCAAGTAAAACATACCTCCAAGTTCTAGACTGAAAGATGCATGATCCTGTTTCAGCAGTGCCCTGGAGCTTTACTCAAGTTTTTACCCATTTAAGCTTTTGTGACATTGAGGAATCTGACGGAGCTTTTGTAAGCTTTACAAAACAGAAGGGATTCTGGGACAGCCCTGCAACCAGGATGTTGGATACACACACAGAGCTCTCATGCAATTCCAGTCTGTTTTCGTGTTTCTGGATACTTACATGAAAAGCTGAAAAGTCAATTTTAATGGGCAATTCATCAGGATCATCTCCTTTGGGTGCAATCTGATTTAGCAGATGGTAGTATGCTCTTGAATCCTAAAACAAGCAATGTAGTATTAAAGAAAAAAAAAATTAGCAAGTATGTAGCCTTTCATACTTACTTTCATTTACTGCTCTTGTAGTCCAGTTCAAAAGCCATGAGTCCAAAGTATGATACCCTAAGTTTCAGAGAATATGGATGAGGCCATACAACCATTTTACTACAGTATTTCACATACAACTTATTAAGCCAGATGCCAGAACAGGAATGTCTGCTAATTATTGTGGACAATGTTAGTTAAATTCATGCTGTTGGATATGAACTAGACAGTTGTAATTATATTTAAGGCAAATTTATTTTCACAGTTATTTTATTCCTTCACTATCCTTTCCAAACAGAAATTTCTCTTTAAGTGATGCAGTAATTAGAACTAAAATTGGAGAGCAAAGTGGCTCTTTTAGGATGAATCTATAGTCACAAGAGAAACCATACTTATTTGATGCAGTTTTCAGTACACTTCTTGGGTTCCCCACCTCCCTCATCCCCCAGTAAGAAACTAGGAGAATAGCAAAAACCTGCTGGTTTTCAGAGTATTTAATACTTCTTTTAAGTGGGATGCAATATTTTTACCATAATAGCAGTTATCCTGAATAGAGCAATCAAAATAACGTTCTTTCAAGTGTTGAAAAATGAAGAATGAAACTATAACTAGAAAAAGCAGATGACTGCTATTTGTCATCTGATCTGGCTCATTTGTTTCTACGCATAGTGTTTAAAACCCATTTTGTTCAATTACCAGTGATAACTGCATACCTTAATGTCTTGGCTGAAGTTACTGATTTTCTGCCACCCTGCATTGGCCAGATGGTAGTTCACCCAGCGCAGCAAGAGCTCTTCTGGGGAAAGCTTCATTAACTGATCTAGTTCTTCTCCGTCATTTAGCAAGGCAATGAGAGCTAAAAGCAGGTTTGAAAGAAAGCTGAAATCATTGCTAATGTGGTCTCAGTTAATCCCAAATTGTGGAAGTTGCTGTACTTGGTATTAACTCTTACCTTCATTTCTGGAGATCTCAATATCAGCAAAAAGACCAACTTTAATGATCTGCCACAGGAGTCCTAACACCAAGTGTGGTTTTCCTTCTTGTAAATCTTGTGACCCAATATTGACAACCGTACAGCCAATGGCAGATGCTGAGTTCAGAGCCAGGTTTAGGTTTTCCTGTTTGAAATACCATTCCATAAGGTTGTAATTCTTACAAAATGTAGTTTAAACAAATTTACTAAGTTTCAGAAGTCATAACAAACAATGCATTAGTTCAATGGTTCCCAGTGGAAAATTGCACTCTGGAGCTTTTTTGTGAACTATAGTGTATCTTAGGAAAACTCAGCAGAAAACATCATTGACAGTGATGAACCCACGAAGGAATCATGGGCCACCTTCTGCAGCTTGGATTGCTGAGAAATATTCTAAAGAAAATATTTCCTGTAACTCATAAGTATCACATACACAAAGTAAACAACATGGCTCAAAATATCAGCGGCTTGATCCTGTGGAGAAACACGCTCAAGTGGAATTGAACCATGAACCTCTGTTCAGGTGGCTACTGACATCACTGTCATCACATCCTGGGTTTTATACAGGCTGACACATTTATTCAAGCACCTGTTAAACTGTAACTGAACAGACAGCGTAAGAAAATCACGGCAATCCAACATCCCGACACTGGAAGTAAAGCTAAGGATTGCCATAGGCTAAACATCCCAGGAAAAAATACCTGTCAGCTCTCGTAAATATTCCCTTCTACTTTCTTGTGTCATATTTTAACTACGTACAGAGACAACAAACACACAGTATCATCTCTGCTGTCACAACTTCTTTAAAGAAGTAGAGATTACAGAACTCACTTGGAGGATTTAGAACATGGTGTGTTTTAACTTGTCACATTGTAATGTGACGTCCTGGAATGAAAAGTCTGTTAATTAACTGAAGTTTTTAATTAGATTTCTTTTCATGCTTTGACATTTTTTAATACACAAGACTTTTTTTTTTCTCCACCAGAACTGTCATTTAAATAAAGCTGTAGAAATACATTTTACATTTTTATCTGCAGCAAGTTCCTGTCTGTGCAGTACTTACAGAAATAGTGAAAGGAGTGAGTTTCTTCTTATTAATAGCCCTTTCATCAATTGTATCTGGTTGTGAAAAGTTAATCATTTTGCTAAGGAAGAAAAGTCAGACATTATTCAAACTTTCATTTCTCAGAAAATATGTTATTTGATTACAAACTCCTAGCACTTTAAACTAGCTGTAAATATTTCTGACAAGATAAAAATATGACCTCATCCTCTAAATCTTCTCTCCCTGTTAAATAATTACACATTCATCCAGAAACCCCCAGATAATATGTAATTATGAGAAACTAGAGCAATTGAGTTTTATGCTTAAGTAACAGAGCATGTCTGTGCTGTCAAAAAGTGTTCTAGAGAAGATTAAAACTGAACTAAAGACAGTTAATAGTTTCTAGTGAAAATCTCTGTAATATAACCAATGTGTTTCTGCACTGTATTTCTATGGTATCTTGCATCTACAAGGATCTCCAAAACTAATTCACATCAATACTAATAAGCTAATCCCTTGTTATCATGGTGTATGAACAAGTACTGTCTATTAGTCTACTCTATCTAGACATTTACAGCAGATCTCTGACATGTGTAATTATGGATCTGAAGGGGAAAACCACTTCTATAATTATGCAGAGAGTCACATAAAAAATTGCTAAAAACAACATTTCTGTAGGCAGATTTTCCCCACATTCATGGAAATATTTAAGAGTGGAGTCCTGACATTAAAGCCTATCAGAAGTTTTCCAATTCACTGATCAGCACTTAACCTTTGAGAATAATTTTTTCTCTTTCTCACAGCCCTGGACTCACCAAAGGAGGATGCCATCTGCAAGGGATTTAAAAAGACTGGCATCTGATGGGTTCATAGGAAGGAGGTGCTTGCAGTCTGGGTCACCTTGTAGAGCTTTATTTATCCAATTAACAAAAGCAACTTTTTCTTCCTCTGAAAAGAAAAACAGCATTACAATAAGCTATTATAATTTCCATGAACACACACTACTAAAACATCAGATGTGGGTCAAAGAGGTTGAACTGCAACAAAACCCCTTAGTTTCATAGGGATCAGTTAAGAAAAGAATCAGACCGGGGGGAAGGTGCAAAAAATGGCAAGTACAGATTGATCTTTCCCCTGCTGCACCCTCTAAACATCTGGTGATTTTCTGAAAGGCAACAAAAATTATAGCAACATAATGGTTCATTGTGACTCTGAATTCAGTTTCGCAGAAATTAGAATGAAAAGAGAGGAATTTGTGATCTGAAATACACAACATCGTAATTTCTACACCATAGGTTTAAAATGCAGCGTTTTATTCTGCCTTCTACTAGGACTTCAGTGACCAGCAGCATTTCTGAGAGCGCCATCTGAATTACTGTGCTGTACTTAGCTTTGAGAAACTTAAACAGTTGAATACTTCAGTTTTAATTTTTCTTTCATATTTAGTGCAGAATTTATTACTGTTTATCTAAGAACGCCTACTGGGACAACGGTCAATCAAGTATCAGTATCCAAACTCCCACACAGCGCAGGGTGTATTCACCTCACTGACCTGAGGCAGCATACAAGACAGGGATCCACTTGACTCAGTGCACTTCTTCCATTGTCAGTGGGAAGAAACACGAAATCCTAATGCACACTTCATCTTGTCTTAAACTGGATGACTAATGAGACCAGGTCAGACGAACTGCACTCTAGTGGGGTCAGTTTCTCTCCACCAAAATGGAAAGGGAGTCTAAACAACTAGCTCTGATGGTGTCCCCCCTACAGGCATCATTTGAGATGGAACATATCCCCTGCTGTGGAAATACACCAAGCATAGCTAGTGTTATGGGATAATACTCAGAGAGGGTATTACCATCAGCTAACAATTATTTCTTACCTGAATAAGAGTGCTGTGTCCCTTCACTAGATATTGCTGATGTTCCTCCAATTGCTGTAATACCTTGCTTTTTGTTTATTGATTTTCTGAAAGATTTGCTAACTTCTTTACTTTTCAATTCCTGAATTATCTGGAATTAAAAAACCATCTTGTGATCGATCGTACCTTTATAACCTAAAAAGGTTACACCTCTATACCTAAATAACTAAGTGCTAACTCACGTAAGTGTTCCAGAGTCAGTAATTAACTGACTGCTCTCTCTAGTATTTCCATTGACTTCTGTTTAAAAACTAACTAGATTACTGTATGGGTAAAATTAGTGTAAATCCCTTCATGAAACTTGCATACTGGATATCTAATATATTACTTCTCAGTGAGTACCTCAAGTGCTACCTTTATTAAGCCATGCTAGCTAAAAAAGTAGACAGGCAACAATCCACACAATTTTTCCACAGATATTTTGGTAAACTGAAGAAAACAACTAAAGACAATACACATTTTCAGTGACTATAGCATATTTCTTCCACTTACTTCATCATATGCTTTACAGGAAAAGGTTAATAAATGTCAGTTACATATGACCTCAAGCAAGCTGATACCATTTTCCACCTGCCTGCAGTGTAAACCACTTTGCATATACTGATATGTCCGAAGTTTGCCCAAATACTGCAGAGGTCTCAAAACTGACAATAAAGTAATAGATGCATTTCAATACCTGGATGCAAATATTTGATCTCACCTATGAACCACTGCAAATTAGAATCTCGGGAAGAAAGATCAATAACTAGTTCAACGAGCAACCTGCAGCAGTACTCTAAATTCAAAGCAAAAGCTGCTCATCTCTAAACAGACACACAAACCAACAGCCTTACAATTTGTTGTTTCTCTCAAATAAAGCAGACCAGCCAATGATCCACATTGAAAAAGCCTGAACTATTCAAATTTACCCAGTAAAAGTTAAAAACTGTACCTCACTGCCAGTAAGAAACAGCCTTTAGCACAGAGATTAAGCATAGTAGCACAAGCATTAGTAAATCACTAAGAGAAGTCAGAGGCTGGTATCTAATTATCTACTGTGTTGTCACGGCAAGGGCTGACCCATCAGTTCCTAAAACATGTCGTACATCCCCTCATTTTTGAGAAAATAGAAAGTAGGACTGACTGAAACTACTGTGCTCTCACGTGCTGCCCAAATGTGATCTACTCAATTAAATGGGAGAGTTGAAACACAAAGACTGGAAAATAATTATATAGGATATTGTAAACTGTCATAGAAAAGCTTCCCATTCTCAACATATTAGTTACTTCTAGCAAAATAGTACTTAGTTGTACCACTTGATTCAGTTTTCTGTCCTAGTTCCCAAGAGATACCGGCAGTAGAGAAACATCCGAAGGGATGTCTTACTGAGACAAACTCTTCAAAGTTGATTCTCCCATCCTTGTTGCTGTCTGTCACTGCAATGACTTTTTCTACAATCTCCCGGACTTTGTAACCAGGCAAGGGCAGACTTGCTTCTTTAAACAGGTCCTGAAGCTCATAATCACTGACATATCCGCTGTTGTCAATATCTGTGAAATGAAAGCACAATTTGTCTTTTATACTTATGAAAAGAACCAAGTGCAGTAACTGTTGAGAATAAACAAAGTGTGTGAAATACAGTTCTAGGAGATAAGTGTTCCTTCTTCTGACATAGATAAGCATGAAGGAATACTTGTGAATTAAAGGCATAATGGCTAGGAGTTGTGCCATCTTGTTATGTATTTTCTCAGGAACTATTTTATAATCCCAAAGCACAGATATACAATGGCAAATTTGTAAACAGTGAAATTTAAGTTTTTTAAAGACTCCCAACAAAATTCTCTATAAAGCTTCAAGTGAAAGCAAGATCAATTATTATATTCTTATTGTCAGTATTAGATTTACAATCAGTAAACTCAAATCTGATGGAAGTTATTATTAGAAGAGCACACTTACAGAAGAAAAACTACTTATGCAAGAACTCTACCTGACTCTGCACTTTGTTTCTTATCCTAATGTTTGACAGACATTTTCTGTTCTTCAAAACTTTTGACGTGCTTAGGCTTACCTGTGGAGAATAGATCTGGGATGATCTGTATCTGTTTATTAAAGGTGACCTTCCTTAATCTACTAGCCAGCTCTGTTTGGAGCAATTTGCACTGCCACCTCCCCTTAAGTCTGGCTCCCAAGACCACATGTCGGGAATGTCCATGTACAGCAAAGTATCAAAATGCTTTTTCCAACATGAGGGTATGGTATAACTCCACAATTATGGAAAGAAATGACTGGCTATATCACATAAAAATAAATTAAGAAAAGTTCAGTATAATTTGTGCTACTTATGATGAGTAACACAGCAGCACAGAAGAAATCATAAAAATACCCTTCATACTTCTACCTCAGGCCAATCTGTGTGCAGAAAGCTGTCTTGAATTCTTCTCTTAGTATAGTAAAACAACATTTTACAAACCTTTAATATGTTTTTATCCAATGTAATGCGTAAATGAATCAAACACATTAACTGCTCTATGTATATTTCCATATACATATGTATGCACATATCTATACAAGCATAATTTGAGAAAGTCCACTAAAATAGCAATGAAGAGAAGTACTTTCCAAAGCAGAAAAGCTATAGTCCTGTATATCAGTATGCATGAAGTTCAATCAAATACAATAAATCATATCCAGCATAACGAGGGCTGGATATAATTCCTATCATTTTATATATTTAATGCTAATTTTTTCCATGTTTGACAACAATTTTCTGTCTTTCATGATCACATCAAAGCTCTTGAAAAACATGAATTAATAGTTTTTTCTCAGTTCTACAAATGATGCATCTAAGAGAAGTAACTTAAGAGAACATCACAAGTAACGCTGAGTCAGAAACAGAAGCAAGATGACGTGGCCACTTTTCTGACTTGTCAAGGCTCTCCCACTTGGTTTTTGGTTTCCTAGTTAAAAAACTTCTCTTCGTGTTGTCTCTAGTATCAGAACTCAGCCAATAATAGCAGAGGATGAATACCCACCACATCACAGAAGGGCAAGCAGAGAAACACGCTCTCACCTCTACAGTTGATTGCTATACAGTAATTTCACTGTAATCCATACTACGCTAGGTAGCTTCTGTACAGCTACATAAGGCGGCCGCATTTCACTGTTGATGAAAGCCTAAAAACACCCGTTTAGTTTTTTTAATAAATAAATTTCTTTGTGTTTTCAGTACCACCAACAATTCACAAATCACTACACAGACTAACTTTATGTCTCCTTGTTTATTAATCTATCCACTGCCTGACTTCCAGACGTGTAACAGCACGCATAACAACAAGGATGGTCTAAAAAGCAGAGGACATGCTCACAAGCTCACTCGGATTACCAGCTATTTTATTTCTCTAGGTTCATCTTTCACGAGGGTAAGTTTCCATGATGAGAAGCAGAGAGTCAAATACATGCTTTTTCTCTCTGTTTACCAATACAGCCACAAGCCATTTACCCATAACGACATGGGAAATGCAAGAATGAAAAAAGCTAAACTATGCTGAATTTTTATATTTTACAGAAAGCATAATGCAGCAAGCAAACAAAAAAACCAACAAAAAACAAACCCCAAAACCCCAGACAAACTAGAAAAAAACCAACAAACTTTTTGGTGAGTAGAAGCAGTACAGACAATGCTTGAAGCAGAAGTGTGACAACATGCAGGAAGGGATGGAAAGAAGGAATGCAGGTGGTGAAAACCAAAGAAATAGAAAAGCTGTCAGACAACAGCAGGGAGTATCTACCTGCCCTGACACCTCCCAGTAGACTGGTATGTGTGCAGAATGCTCTTTTCCTTGGTCTGTCTTTCCAGCTTCTGCAGGCTACAGACTTCTTGACTGTGTCAAGATGGTTGCTTAGTAGCAACTCATGAATTACCTTCCATGGATGTATCTTATTCCTTTAGCATTTTACTCTTTTTTGGTCTCAACAACATCCTGAGTTACTGGGTTCACGTTTTTATTATTTCTCATGAAGAAAAGTTACTTCTCTTTATTTTAAGCTTTCTGACTCTACTGGGCACCTGTACTGACAGATGCTGAGTAATTGCCTCTTCACCTTTTCCATACTCATTGTCTTGCAGGTCTCTAACATACTGCTGCTCAACTGTCTCTTTACCAAGCTGGAGACTGCTAAAATTTAAGACTTCTTGCCTAGAATGATCCTGTTCCCCCATTATGAATGATTACAAATACGTCTATTTACTTTGCTGAGCTGCACAGTTACACATCACCCCCTCAGAACTGCAGCAAACAAGGAATAAAGTAGACATGAACTTTAGCATTTGTAACAGTACTGCAATATGGAAATAAGAGTTAGTTGCTATACAGTTTTTCACTCTATTTACTCTCCAATTAATCTGCAAACATCCTGTCAAGCATACAAAATTGTATAGTTATTTATTAACATCTTCTAGTTACAAAATATAAAAATATCTCTGTTGAGCTTACTTAAAATGTAAAATCTGATCTAATAAATGGCATTACTAAAGCATGTGAGTAAAGCAAAACTAGAGTGTCAGTAACCTAATGTGACAATATATTTAACAACGGAAGTTTGATCGAGATTCTTCACATTTAAGGAGGTCAAAAAGCTGAATTTTGAGACCTATCATCCTGCATATACAGTGGCACAAATAACGCAACTGCCCAGCCAGAAAATGTACCTGTTTTCACTGCTGAAGTTAGAAGTGAATAAGCACACAGTTTCAGTGAAAATAAGCAGGGTACATAAACATTCTTATTTTCATAGATATTACTGGCAACATAGAAGAAAAGCAGGGCCCTATGAAAACAAAGTGATCCATAAAGATTTCTTCCACAAATCCTACATGGCTTTGCAATGCTAATGACATCCCCATTGCTTTTTTTATTTAAAGCGTACCTATTTTACCGAATGCTTCTCTTAGTTCTTCAAGCTCTTCACGAGAGACAGTAGTTATGTTGTTTTCCATCTTCGGACAGCAAGGGGTGTTGTCCTCAGTTGCTTATACCTAACAACAGTAATAACAATAACAATAATAATAATAAAAAAATTCATAAGGCTTTCATTCCAACCACATATTAAAAGAAGTTACTGATCTTTTCAATACAAGGTACCAGACCTGAATGACATTTCCAGGCCTGGCACACTTAAAACATTACAAGCAGCACTTTAAAGTAGATCAAACACCTAGCAATTCTTTTCACTGTAATAGTGACTGAGAAGTCACAATAGCAGCAGCTGTTTTCATACACATGATGTTTTCATTAGGCTTATTTTCAATAAGCACTGAGCAACAATCTACCTCCACTGCCTGCATGGTTTTAGAACATTGAAATCATTGCCTTACATTTCAACAACAAATTTTTAGAAAACATTAATTTCCCATCACAGCACAGTCTCATTGTCAACTAGTGTTTAGTACCAGGATCTAGTCCTGCAGAGTACTGAGCACGCCAACATTTTCACAGTAGTAAACCTGAGTGGGACACTTTCAAGGACCTGCTTACAATCAGCGAGTGAACACTCATGAGCCTTCCCACAGCTGTGGCAGAAGTTACCACCTCCTGACAAGCCTATGGTCTCCTAACACTGCCAAAGAGCTGAATAAAGGTTTCTACTGAGCACAAAGACTGGAGTCTGATTGTGAATCTACTTTCTCTACACAGCTCCATAAAAAAGCAACACAAAACAGAAGGCACCTTTGCAGGGGTTGACAAATCCCCATGACAGATCCTTGCCCATTTCCTCTTGTTGAAGCTTTACTACAACAGGATAGTTCAGACCCTTGTTAGTCAGTACAAGTTAGGCTCCAATGCCTAAGGCTGTCAAAATTCACACGTCTTCATATTTACACAGTATCTCTCAGAAGAAAGAGCAGATATGATACAACTTGTAAAAAAAACAACCCAAAACAAAACAAAGAAAAAAAACCACATCTGGATTAAAATTCACTTGCAAATATTAAATTGCAAGGAACATAGTTATTCAACATATTTGGTTTCATGGTTTAGGGCTGGGCTGGCCACTAAATGCTGGACACACGCTCTCCATTAACCCCTCTCCCCTCCCCAGAATGGGAAGGGAAAGAATAAGGGAGAGAGATTTACGGATTTAATGAAATGGAAAGCACGTCGATTCAGATAGGCAAAAATTAGAATTGATCAGGATATTGGGACTCACAGTTTTACCCAAACCTAGAAATCTAAAGCTATGTATTATCAAATTCTTCCTCATATTATTTTGCCTTCTGTTGAACCCAGATTTATATACCTTTTGTCATTCATATCCATATTCTATAGAAATGAAGTTACTAAATGAAAAGCTCATCTTTATTAGAGATCTTTCTTAACTGTAACTACACACATGTCTAGACTGCCAGGCAGTTTTCAGTAGGATGGTTCTGATTTCCTCAACAGCGCTTTCATAAATGCAAACTAAGTATTTAGCTTTGATCTTCTAACACAAGAGGCAATGGGACAGTCCTTTCCTGCTGTTTTTACTGCTGGTGAGAGAACTGTGTACGTAAGGGAATAAACTATCCCATGCTATGAAGTGCTCACTGAGAATCCTTGATCTGTTTGTAATGAAAACAATACTCTGCAGGAAATGCTGGGAAGGTCTCTCGAGCTGAAGGGAAATGCTGAACGAGGTATCCCACGTGTAGCTAATCCTGTACGTATAATGACACGAGCAGTGCTCATGAGATAACAACGAGTAGCCCCCAACTTTTTCCAAAATAATATTTTTAAATAAACAAAGCAACTATTTGTTCAAAATACTATAAAATACCATGACTTTGTTTTAAAGGACTTTTTTTGGTGGGTTGTTTAATCTTTGGGGCCTATGTTTTAAGGTTTATGCTTATCTGAAACCACCAGAGTTAGACATTTCCTTCAAAAATAAAATTACTTGGAAGCTGAGATTCTCACGTAACAAACTTCAGCTGGAGGTCAGGGTTTTAAGGAAATCAAACAGCATGAGATATGGTGAAACCTTCCAAGATAGCAACTCTATTGCCAGACCATTCAAGAAAATACAATTATTTTTTTTCCCCACAAGAATATGTGACTACTTTCTCAAAATACAAAAGTAAAAATATTTATTTGGGCCCTATCTGCAGTGTAAACCTTTATTTATCTACAGTTACACTGCTAGGTGAGAGCACAAACAAGTCGTGCACCATGTAACTGATTCTCAGCTAATGTTTCTGCTTATTTTAGGGCAGTAGTTCACTTTTCTTCCACATTGCTATATAAAAAAAGGAGTTCTTAAACAGCAGTTTAAGGCAGACCTTTTCTACTTGACCCAGGTTAGTATTTTCTGTGTCTCCACTGAGACTGCTCCTGTGGGTCACACAGGATATGGCCTTGAGTGTGGGTGGTGAGTTAAGTCTTTTTCCTTCATGTCACCCGATCTTATTTAAGTACTAAAATCCTACTCATCCATTTTGCTAAGCCTACTGGCAGCATGTACCAGTCTTCATACTCAAAAGAAAAAAAAAACAGAAAAAATGACCTTGCACACAACACAGATGTTTCTGGAAATGCTTTGGTTGAAAATCTGATGTGAAAATTGAAAACAAAGAAATAAAGAACTGTGGAAAAAGTGGAGAAGCAAATTAAACATTTAAATCCAAATTACTAAGAAAATGTCAATGATCCTGAAGCTGAAAAACCAAACCAAAACAAACTAGAAGCCAGTCCTCTGAAATACAGAAACAGCATGTGAAGCCATCATTGAAACATTTAGCCTTACGGGTGCAACAGACACCACCACTTCTGTCACACCATTAATGATTTTAACTAATTACCATTACCATGAGTCAGATTTTATCAAAAACAATTTCTGCAAAGTTGCAATGCAATTAGTTTCACTTCTCTCCTTTTATGATTTGTAATTTAGATTTTCTATCACATTCTATTTCAGAAAATAGCAATCTTTGCTTTCTAAAGAGTTTTATTATTTCAGTAACACAGTGGAAACATCTGTTCTTGAATGAAGCAGATAAATAAAGCTAATACCTCTGTTCTAAAGAGACAGTCTTAAATACCCTATTACATAATTACAAGGTAAATTAGCTGGTCAATTAAATGGCAGAAGTGCTGCAATCATGGTCTTGGTATTCAGGAGAGATCAAGTTCGGGCAGTCAGAGAAGACACCTAAACTAGGCAGACATTTCAGGGAATTTCAGTATAGAAACAGGGACCTCGATCTAAGCTCATAGATACCACGCACACACGGGTATCACTGTGCAAGATGACTCAGCCCACAGTCAGTTCTGACCAGATTTAACATCAGGCCTCCAAAGGTTCGTGTCGGTTGGAACTTTGACTACCTGCTGAAAGACACAGCTGAAAACGGAGAACACACGTCTCCGTACTCCGGTAGCGTTCCTCTGACACACTTTCTGTAGTCTATGCTTACACTAAACTATCTCCTGCTGCCCCAGGACAGGATAGGTACAAACACTGGTTTTACACCGAGAAAGTGCCCTTGATCCCCTTTTAAGTCCTTGACAATACGCCTAATGTGAACTGACAAGATTCATCTATCCCTAGCCTGCCTTCTATGCCTGGAAGGCTTTTTTTATCTAAGGACAATTCACTGGGGCCTTCTGGAAACATTTCACACCCAACATTAATACAATCTACCCTTGATACCATCGTGGCATTTCTTTGTGCGCAAAGGAGTATCTGTGGCTAGGCAACCACAAAGGATAAAGCGAGCAGGCCAAACAGCAGTTCCCGAAGCTTTTTTGACCTGTTATCACAGCTGTCAGAAAAACCAGAGCAGTTAATTGGCAATCAGACCCAATAGTTTTCTCCACCCCTGCATGCAACTGGCAATTTCTTTTCCAGCTCTTCATTTCTAATTCTGTTTGCCCTGTTTCCATGTGCAGCTGCTCCCACAACGACGACTCAAGAACCGATTTCCTTTTGTTGCTGTTCTTTCTGTCTGGCATTAGAGACACACCTCCTCTGTCCCTGGTGCAAATACCACTCTACTGCTGCATCATTCTTAGATCTATGAGAGCCAAGCTAGCATAATTTGCAATTAGAGGTTGTGCAGAAGAATTACTGCTTTCACATCTACAATGAGCTGGTTATTAGTATGTAGTATCTGCAATTACAAAGCATTAAAATTCTGCTTCTCTTACTGGGCTTTGAGTCAAACTGCTATGGATTTTAACGCAAAAAAAATCCCCACAAAACCCATAGTTTAACCTGTAGCATTCCTGTGTTAGTTTACCTGGAACTTTTAAGTCAATGTGGTGGGAACAGGGTAACTTTCATGCCCCTTTAGTCTCTCTTAAGGTCTCATCAGATTAAAGTAGGAGTTCCATCCTGCCTCAGTGAGAAAAGAATGCACTATAAGGTATAAGACATAGATGAGGAGCTTAATGAAAAAAAAAA